CTACGCAATTCCAAAAGCTATTCATAGAAGCTCTAGCGTGCTCCGAAACCCCTTAACTAGGGACAATTGCAGCAATAATACAGACATATATGCATACATACAAACATTCATACAAGTACACTTAAGTATACATACATATGTATTTATATATGTACGAATTTATAAATGCATAAAAACTATAAATAAAAAAATCTTCCACTAGACGGAAGAAAATGATTACGCACTAAAGAAGCTAAGAAGAAGAAACAACGACTTATACAATTGCAGAGATTCTATGTACGTGTGGGTATATTGTATGTATGTTTAGTAAATTCATAAGTGAGTATGTACCTATATATGTATGTATGTAAATGATTGCATGTTTGAATGATTTCTTATGCTTGTGCATCTAATTAAAAGCGGAAGACCCCCAAAAAAAAAGCTACGACTCAATGCATGAACAACCACAGCAACATACATACATACAGGCATTCACTGGTGTGCATTAGGGTGGTCCAAAAAAAGGATTGTTCTATTTAGAAAAAACTATACCTCTTTTTTTTATTTCGAAATCAAAAAATATTTAGAGGTCGCTCAAAGCGCTCAAAGTTTTGCATGAATTTTATAGAGGAAAAAACAACTTTTCGTAGAAATGGTGTAGAATTTTTGAAAATCAATATTTTCAATAATATCCAATTGCTTATGTAATCACGGCATTTTTGGTCCCCTTATTGCATTTACTGGGGTTTTTGGGGGATCTATGAAATATAGTTACTATGAAAAAATGGTTAAATAAAGAATTGAATATTATTACTGGGAGTCTCCTGAAGGAAAAAATAGTTTTCCGATTAAAAAATATTGATGCTCAAGAATTATCTTATTACATTAGACGAGAAATTCTTGTATATCTATACATATATCCATAGTGTTCTCGGAAACGGCTCTAACGATTTTGATGAAATTTTGTACACAGATAATTCTTTGGATTTTAAGGTTAGCTGAATAGGCATTATCTCCGAGAAGACTCGTATAAGGTTGCCACCTATTCGAAACTAGTTACAAATTAATTAAAAAATCATAATATTGGTATCTCTAATTCAAAAATATTCTTAATAGGGTTGCCGCCTATTTCGAATCGCATATTAATTTAATTTTTTATTTAGAAAAAAAGGTAAAATATTACTATTTATGGGTATCAAGAGAAGGCTCTTAAACAATGTTTTCCCTATACACAAATAATATCCCTTAGGGTGTAAGGTTGCCACTTATTTTCGATTCCACACAATTTATCTAAAACATCGCAATGTAGATATCAAATGAAAGGTATTGTTGAAGACTTTTATTAGAAAATATTTTCGATCAGGGTTGGCACGCTTCTATGTAATACAAATTTGTATTTTATTAATTTCATTCGGCATTTTTTATGTATACACAGTACATATACGCTCAAGATATATACTATTCATTCCAGCGTATTTCAGGAATATGGTTGCCACCTAAATTTTAGAGTAAGAAATTAACTTAATAGATATCGAAATCCAATTTTTTTTTTTCAAAAATATTTTTTTAAAGCTATCCAAATGACCAGTATATGATATTAAAAAACCTTGAAAACTTTAAAAAGTATATGCACTCCGCGCAGATCTCGGTCAACCTGGTACTATACTATTTCTACGAACAGTTTTTCCCCATATAAAATTCATGGAAAACTTTGAGCGACCTCTAGATATATTTTGATTTCAAAATGACAGATAGGGGTACATTTTTTTCGGCATAGAACAATCCTAGGGGAGAGAGCATACAACTTCCGACTTTACTTTTTCACATGCATTTTTGCACCACCCTAATGTGCATACATGTGGCTATGAATGTGCATACATATATAAATTTGTTGTTGATTGTGTGCATAGTACCTATATTATAGCATGTATATTTATAATAGCAATCAAATAAACGCAACAACTCACATCGGTATGTATGTACGTATGTATGTTCGTATGTAGGTTTGTGGCATAGCCCCAAAATAATAAAAGTAGGTCACCGGCGCACGTTCGCGTCATATTTAGAGGCGCGCAACCTAGAAACGCACAAGCAACGAAACGCAATGACAAAACGCAGCATAGAAGCGGAGCTAGCATTTAGCTTTTACGCAGCGATAGACAAGCCAGCTACATACATAGCTAGCAAATGCGCCGGCAATTACTTATGTCTATGTATGTATGTAGGTACGACTATGTATATCGGCTGATGGGTACTGTGATTATGATTGCATGCACAGCCAAGTTGTAGTACTATTAGGTTGTAGTCAGTGGGGTTAGCCTTATTTATTAATGTTTGTACGACTATATGTATGTATACCTACATACATACATACATGTACTAATGCATAGTAATATGCATGCGCTTGTTTCTATTTTGTTTAGTTGAAAAATAGTTCAGATGTGCAAGCGTTCCAAAAGTCACATGCATACGTACATACACAACTCTGAATGACTGACTGACTGACTGACAGATAATGCAATATACAGAGAATTGGAGCATTCGAAGAAGTAGAAAATGGAGCACTGGAAGTAGCAAATGCTATAATATTTTTATTAGGAATTAAGTGTGTATGTAAGAGCATTAGGACGGGTCAATTTGTTGGGATAAATTTTTTTTGAATATACGCACATAGCACAGAAGGATTATACGTGTAATTCTAAGCAAATTTGCCGAAGAAACCATGGGTCTCAAATCAATGTGGAGTTTGCTAAAGCGAAAATAAGTTTCTTAGCATTTTGCTGGCGAAGAGAAGTGCTTAAATTTGTACTACACGTTAAATCCCCCTAAGCTATAAGGGTGTAGTCAAAAAAATTTACCCGCCCTAATGTGCATATATGTATTCTATTTATATATGCAAATACAAGCTTAAAATTTTTAAGTAAGAATTGACATTCTGTTACTTAAGTGAGTGTTTGTATTTATTTTGTCGAGCATTGAATGTTTCTTTTTCTGTTTCGTGACCTTTAAATACTTAACGATTTACATAATGTATCAAAGGAAATATCTTAGTTTCATGATTCGAGAGTTTTAGTTGCAAAAGATAACTTAAAATTAATTATTTTCAAGTCAAAACTAAAATACCGAGTTTAAAAGATTTAAAAAAAACTTCCTTTGAAAGTTTTAACTCAAGGTGACAGTGGGCCTAATATAGTGCTTATAATAACTATACGACACCACTCACATATTGGCTAGTTTCGACCATTTATTTTATTATTATTAAATTTTAACTTTTGATTTATAAAAATGTATGTAATTTTTTCCTGAACAAAATCCGTATAAATGCATGTTTCAAACTTTATGCAATATTAAAAAAAAATCTCAATGTTTTTAAATAAATTTTTGATTTTAATTTAAATTTTTTTTTTATAAAAATATAGTTTATTCTTCAACAAAATTTGTTTAATCCAAGTTCCAAACTCTGTGAAATATTTAATGAAAAAATCAACAAACTTTCTTTAAAATTTCAATGTTCTTAATTCAAATATTGTGAGTATGCAGTTGTGTAGCCCATCGAATTTAAGTAAAATAAAGTGCAAGTTTGAAGTAGCTACGACTTTCCGTTGATTTTCGGCAATTTTGTTTGTTGAAAGAAATGAAATTAAAAAAAAAATAAAATAATATCTAAAAATAAAAAAAATATAATTAATTAATTAAAAGTAAAAAAAATAATAAAATAAAAAACGAAAAAATAAGTTCCTAAAAGTTAAATGAATTAAAATATATATATATATATATATATATATATGTTTTTTAACAATAAATTCTAAAAATTAAAGTAAATTAAATTGAAAAAGGAAAAAATTTGAAACGATGAAAAAATATAAAAATTAAATGCAATTAAAAAAATCTATATATTTTTTAACGATAAAATCTAAAAATTAACAGAAATTAAATTGAAACATGAAAAAAAATTTAACTAACTTGACCTCGGATACATCGAATGGTACAAGTGCTTTCTGTCAAAAGAGCTTTTCACCATGAAAGTTGGCAAGGGAGCTTTTTTTTGTAAGACTTACGTGCTTGCAAACAATCTTGCATACTGTCTTACAAAAGATTAAACTATCTTAGCCAGAATTGCCCTCTTAGAGTTACGAGTACAGATGTTGGCGATTTGAGGAGATAGGATATTACACTCTCTTATTAACTATTTATCGAGCTCAATGATACCATATTGTTTATGGACGCACATAAAATCAAGTACATAGTACCTGATATGAGAGAGAGTGAAAGAGAGAGAAGCAAGTAGATCAGTGAATTCAAGCAGAGCTCCTGTTCGCTCTAGGGTTGGTAAGTATCGAGTACTTTTGAGGATCGAGTTCCTTGGTAGCGATACTTTTAAGTATCGGGTATTTTTGAGAGTACTGAGTACTTCCTTTAAATATATACCTGTTGGTAACATTTCAATGCTTGGTGTAGAAATCTCACAAACTGGCAGAATTTAATTCAAATTAATATATTAAATCCAACTTACGTCAACTGAATGACAGGCTGTACTGAAACTTGAAATTCAGCATAATAATATCTGAATACCGGTAAATGTAAACAGAACTCAGTACTTTTAAATATCTATTCGACCATTAATACTGAGTACTTTGAATCGATCCTGATCGAGTTCTTTTAAGTTCTGAGTACTTTCGAGTTTTTTTGAGTACTGAATACTTTGGGAGTACCCAGTATCGATACTGTTGAAAATCGGGTACTGTCGATCCTTTTCAGACGGTCGTTGGATGCACCAAACATAGGAGCGCTGATAATCTTGTAATGTTTCAAGTTCGATGAGCTTTGACAATAGTTTGTTTATGCCAGCGGCTTATGTATTACTTCAATACGTTCAGTGAAGAAATATTTTACTTTACTTGGCCTAGTCGCTGTAGTACATAATTGCATAGCTTATGCGAAGAATAATTATACAATTAGCCTAATATTTCACATTTTCTATAAAAAAAAAAAATTAAAAATTTTTCACTTTCAAAACTTACCTGTTCAGTTTAACTGCAAGCGTTCGTTTTTTATCCCGAATTCCAAATGAGTTTTCGCTTTTTCGAAAATTTAAGCGTTTTGTCCAAAATTACTTTACACTTATCAGCGCACTTTCTTCGTAAAAAGTTTATTTTTTTCAAAAATTTTCAATATCAAAATTCTTAAGTTTTTTTTTGCGTGCTTATTTTAGCCACTTAATTCTTCGAATTTTTTAATTCCTTTTTATGTTTTGTTTAATTTCTCAAATATTGTTACTTTTGTTTTAGTATTTATGTTGCGCTTTTTGTTTTATCAAAAAACCGAAACGAAATTTTTATGCAAACTTACACACACAAACACACAAATTACACAGAGTTCGCGGAAAAGAAGCTGCTGCTGCTGCTGCTTTAGTTGTTGTGATTTGTTGGCGAGCTTTTCTTTATTATTTATTTATTTCTATTTTCTGTTGTTGCTTGAATTGGTTGCAAAGCTGTGGTTGCTGTTGTTGTTGTTGTTATTGTGGTTGTTGTTGTGTTTTAGTATTGCTGCTAGTCCAAACCAATAATTTTGAATAAGTTTCCAATTTGTTTACGTTTTTTCCTCAAATTTTATTTTGCAGTTTTGTTGCTTTTTTCGACGAGCTACTCTCCTATCCGCGCGGTGCCTGTTCGCTACGTGTCGCTACGTTTTGGCGGGTTTTTTTCCGGTTACGTTTCTGTTGTTAATACAGTGTCAAAAATTAAGTTCGTAAGTCCTACGGCGGAATTACTATTTGCGGTTTTTCGTTATGTATACACTTTAAAAAAAATTCACAACGATTTAGTTGGACGTATTTAAGCTTTTTTTACATTTCCATTAAATATTGGTATAGATAAGTTTCGCTTTTGCGCAAAAATTTACATTGATTACAAGCCGAAATTTACATTTTTTTTCAACTAAACATATTTTTCATGGTATTTGTATTATCTTCACTAGTTGATAAGTAATAGCAATAGTTGTTGGTATTAAATTTTACTTTTTTGTGTTATCAAATATGTATGTAGAATATATGTAAGTATGTAAGTATATGCGTAAAAGTATTATTTATTAAGTATAATTTCCCCATACGAAATATTTATTTGCCTACGTCACTAAAAATTTTGTGTGTAATTTACCAAAATAGTTTTTTTGTTTTCTGTTTTAGATTCCTTATTCAATTGAGTTTTTGTTTTGTTTTTTTTTCGCAATATTATACACTTTGCTTTTGCTTAGTTTTTTTTTGTTTTGTTTTTTCGTGCCGCACACAGTTTTGCCAATTTCGCGAAAAAATATATTTCATTAAATTTCCTTTGGTTTTTAAAAATGTTTTTTGCGCTGAACTACTCTGAGTGCCATTATTATTCAGCTTTCAGTGCTTGTTTTTTTTAGATTTTCATAAAAGAGTTTCAAGTGCGCTCGTATTATCGACATCTTGCAGCACTTCCATTTCTGCTACTTTCCACATAAATTCTTTTCTCAGAAGTATTAATTTTTCTTAATTTAGGCCAATGTCCACAAAAATACGTATTTGTTTGTGCATTATTCAGACGAAGATCTGAAAAGAAAAAAATTCAAATTTTATTGATATCTAATTAGAATTCAGAGAAAAATAAATAATACATTTATAATAATATGTTCTATGTATGTTTTATACCAGGGACGCCCGCAGCGAGCTTTTACGCTGCGCGCGTCTATAAAAAAAAAAAAGCTTTAAAAAGCTTTGTACGCCACTGCCCAGACCTGTGACACCTAAAACAGTCACAACGAAATCGTTTTCGTATCCTGCAGGGTCTTTGCCAAACTTTTTGAAGACTTGATATGGACGCACATACAGCAAAAGCTCTCTCTAATCGCCACTGGCTCAAAATTGACCAAGACCAAAACATGTGCCTCGAAAGAAGCTTTTTCAAGCTTTCTGTACACTTTACATCAGTAATGCTCAAAATAGGGCCAGCTGAATTTCAGATATTCTGCGGCACTTTTTTGGTCCAACTGCAGGGATAATGAACTGAAGACCTCCCAAACATCTCCTTTGATCCATAAGTCATTTGTAACAGCTAAGAAGTATTCATGAAATTTCCTTATACGATTCTTTAACCGTGGTTGTATTGAATTTTCGGTTGCGTTTAAAGGCACCTAAGAGCCATACCTAGCCACGGTATTAATATATCCGACGACCTATCTAGAAGTGACGTTACGATGGCAGAATAATGCGGCACAGTATTTCCGAGCTCACAACTTTGGATCCTATTGCTTTCAAAACTGGTTGACTATTGACTAAGATAGTGGCTTTTCCGGATGCATTCGTCCAAGTAGAATACAAGTTGCCTTCTTATACCATACATCTCAGCTTGGAAGACTGTGAAGTCGTTTGGCATACATAAATACAGACTGATCGGCAGGTCTTCCGGGTAAAGAGCGGCGCCAGCTCATTACTTCAAATTTGAGTCCTCAATGTATAAAATTTAATTTCATGATTTGCCACCCACGGCCGTGTCTTGCATTGTTCTCTCATTGGAAACCAAGTAAGTAGCCTTGTATTGAAGTCCCAAATGCTGGCTGTGAAAGCATGAACCAAAAATACAAGATCACGTAAGAACGCGACGTTGTATTTGTAACTGGTTTTGAGAAAAAAGTTTGCGAAAGCGGGTTCGTCAGCTGAGCGTTTGTTTACATCACAAGCACCACTATTTTACACTTTTATTCAAGTAAAGAAGAGTTAATTCAACATGACAACACATTTTAAAGCATTTGGTTGCATCATTTTACCTAAATTGTGCGTTTAAAGTGGCTGACAATAATTTTGGCTAATTTTGGTTTTCGTTGTTTTCTTTGCTTTGTTTACTTTTCGCTCGTTTTCCAGTGAAACAAGATGGCGTAGAACCCGCTAAAAAAATCGACTTTTTTCACTCTCTTGTATCTTTCGTTCATGCTGTGAAAGGCCTTACGCTAGGCCTTAACGCCAGTTTGCAAGTATAGTAAGCCTCTAAAGTCTGCATTCTCCCCCACATTCCATTTGCGATGCATTTTTAAGTGCAGAATGATGCCCAAGTATTACCTTCCGGAGGAAAGATTCAAAGAAAAATCGTAAACTGTTGTCAGTTCTGTTGTTTTTCGTATATCCAATACGTTCTCTGGACGCTTTGTTTAAGATTCAATTGCCTTTCAAACGTTTTTGTTCAATCAAGTTTTGGCAGCAGCTTTCAGACAATCGGTAGATTTGTTTTTAACTGATGGAAGTCCCACTGTTGGTAAACATCAAGCTTTTTTTAAGTTTGTGGGGTTTGTTCTTTAGGGAGAGCGGCTTCTTTGATCTCCTCCCGGCTTGATTAAAAAAACGATTATATTTAACATTGTTTTATCATTTTAAGTAAACGCTTCCCATTTCTGAGCCAAACACTCTATCCTTATTCTGGCCTGAACGTGCCTTGCGTTTATGAATCTCTGATTGACCCCTACGTTGGCCAGAACATTAGCCTCTTGATTGTCTATTAATTTACTACTTGCTTGCACGCAATGCAATGCGAGTAGCACTGTAGAAGTGTTTGTTAATCAGACGTAGTTCAAGGCATGAGTCTCGGCTTGGTCGTTCACTATCGAAGTTGGTTCTATTTAGGAATAAGTAATACCTTTAAGTTTACGAAGCTAATGCGCAGTCCTTGCTCTTGTTCTGTGACCCTTAGAGTGGACGGGGTTGCTTAGTCTCAATTGAGATGAGTGTAGTTGTAAGCAGTAGATCCTCTTTATTCATTACTATGTAAAGCGGAGGCAGGTCTAGAGCGCCTCCAGAGCTGCGGTGTGTTTGAATTCCGGAGTTTGGCATGCATGGACTTTAATTCTGTTACCATCGATCATACAACCAAATTGTTAATTTAGGTTTCTTTGATGTCGTGGTTCCTCCCCATTAGCTTCTTCAATAGCTTAATTTAGATATAGATTTCAGACAGGTCTAGAACAGCCTTGAGAGCCGCGGTGGTTGTCGTTCTTACTGTCTCCAGTGCTGCCCTTGCCCTTCATTTCCGTTTTCTTTTACCAACCGAGTGCGGCTTAATTTAGGATCATTTCGTGCCTCCAGTTTGACAGTATAGGTTTCATTGATGCGCCAAATTCCTCTCCATTCCGGCAGTTCAGCAGCTCCAAATGGAGGCTCTAGCTTTTTGAACAAATTTATTTGGGAAGAGATTCCATGAATAGTTGGTTTCTTCAGAGAAGTATTATTTTCTTATTGAAGAAACCATGCTGGCAGTTACTCCATTTCCTTTTTTCTGGAGACTGTAACTATGCTAGTCTTGTTGGGGTTGACATTGAACCCCTTTTTGACTGTTACATTTGACAGCTATGCTCAGTTCCACGTTGGTACCGTTATACTCTATTAAAAAACGAGAAATGCTTTAATATTTATAAAGATATTTTCTATAGGAGGAAAGTAGTTACGCTTCTATTAGTAGTAGATCGTACTGTAGATCACATTTCGGAAATGTTGCTCTTGGACAATCTGCACATTTTTAATGAAATTTTTTGCCCACTCATCACAATTTGATTTTTCACAGTCATTTATTGACCTTTTTTTTGTATCAATCTTCACTGCTTTCATATACATACGTAATGTAGCTCTTCACTTTAATTTTTACACTACTAAAACTTGATGCCAACCAAATCAGAACCATTTGCCATTGCATCCTCACACCACTATGTAAGAGTGCTATAGATTTTTTTTTTTAATTATGCAAAACTGCATCTAAAATAAACAATGAATACACAAAACGCCCTAACTTGTAGAATCCTTTAAATGCGCGTGTACACACAAACTTGTATATGCAACCCTCCATGGCAAGCAATTTGCAAGCCGGTTGCCGACAAAAAGGGTTAGTTTTTCCCATTCAGCTGAGTGAACTGCACTCAGTCGCTAGATACACTCGTGCATAATAAATGTCCTTT